CTTTGAAAGTGAAATGACACAATGGGCCCGAGGTCACCTATCATTACTTGAGCCGAATTAAGCAGAGACAAGTTTGAATCTTTTTTTAAAAAAAAATATTTTATTGATTTTTTACAGAGAGGAAGAGAGAGGGATAGAGAGTTAGAAACATCGATGAGAGAGAAACATCCATCAGCTGCCTCCTGCATACCCCCTACTGGGGATGTGCCCACAACCAAGGTACATGCCCTTGACCAGAATCAAACCTGGGACCCTTCAGTCCACAGACCAACGCTCTATCCACTGAGCCAAACTGGTTAGGGCAAGTTTGAATCTTATATGAGCAATTATTCTATTAATGCCGGCAGTATGGGGAGAGCAGTTGGTCACCCTGGAAATTCTCTCTGACCCCCTCACCAGTTGGCTGATTATATACACACTAGAGGCCCAGTGCATGAAATTCAAGCACGGGTAGGGTCCCTAAGCATGGCCCCTGATCAGGGTCGATTTGCAGGGTGACCTGTGGGGCGATTGGGGGGGCCCCCCGCTGGCACCCATCTTGCCTGGTGGCCTGGCGCCGCCCGCTCGCTGGCCCCATCCACTGCTGCTGCCAGTTGCCTCCCTCTGCAGGAGGTGACCGGTAGGGTAATTGGGGGGGCAGTGCTGCCCATTCATTGGCCAGGCCCCCTGATCGCCCCGCCACCATCACCAGTCGCCTCCCTCTGCCTGCTGGCACCCGCCTTGGCTGGCCTGGCGTTGACCGCTCGCCAGCCCCGCGCGCCCCCCCCCCCCCCCCCGACTGGTCGTTCCGCAGGTCATTCCCCCGTTCGGCCAATTTGTGTATTAGGGTTTTATAAAGATAGATGAGGGAGAAGATAGCTATGTGCAGCTACAAGCAAAAGTGTAACATGGAAACGGGAAGGGAGGGTCTGCAATATGGCCTTCAGGAGCTCAAAGCCTGATAACAAGGTGGCTAATCTATGATGTTACAAACAGCTCAGCCTGTTCCTGGGACTGGAGAATGGTCATTAGTTCACGAGAAAAATTCCCGGAATGGGTCAGGGTCCGGGCACAGCAACTAAATCAAAGAGTGTCCTGTCCTTGGTCTGTTTTCAAAATGTATTTTGTTTCTGATTAATGGACCCACCAAGGTATTTTATCCTTTTACAGCCTTGTTTCATCATCCAGTTTCCCAAGGTCTGTAAGAAAACTTCTTATCTATAGTTAATAAGGTGAATAATTATTGGACAACTGTGGCTCTATCCTTAATTACATGCCTTTCCCCACTATCAAAAGGTGTTTGAGAATACATTTTCTAAAGGATGACATACAGTCCATGAAAGATATGACACATAGACCATTAGGTGGCTGAATTCTTAAATATCTCCCTCTCTAAGTCCAAAAATTAGAAAAGAAATTAGTTTATGTACATGCCCTTTAGGCTTTAACAAAACTGCAGTTTTCACTTTTGACACTAAACTGTAAAACCAGGTCTTTCTCATGTATTTTTTGTAAATTGGAAAGTTGGAATTTGTTGTCAATTGGTAGCTGAAATTCAAGAAAAATAATGGTCAGGTAGAAAGACCTCTAGTAAATGGAATATTAAAAACACAGTGATCAGGCCCGGCTGGTGTGGCTACTTGTTGACTGTTGACCTATAAACCAGGAGGTCACAGTTTGATTCCCATCAGGGCACATGCCTGGGTTGCGGCCTTGTCCCCAGTAGTGGGTGTGCAGGAGGCAGCCAATCCATGATTCTCATCATTGATGTTTCTTTCTTTTCTTTCTTTTTTTTTTTTTTTTTAATATATTTTATTGATTTTTTTACAGAGAAGAAGGGAGAGAGACAGAGAGTTAGAAACATCGATGAGAGAGAAACTTCGATCAGCTGCCTCCTGCACATCTCCCACTGGGGATGTGCCCGCAACCAAGGTACATGCCCCTAATCGGAATCGAACCTGGGACCCTCCAGTCCACAGGCTGACGCTCTATCCACTGAGCCAAACCGGTTTCGGCTCTTTCTTTTCTTTTTTTAACTAATCCAGTAAACATGTTTTTGTTTGTTTTTATATTTATTGTTGAGATTATTACAGATGTCCGTCTGTTTTCCCCCATTGCCCCCCTCCACCTGGTTCTCTTCCTGCCCCAGGCCTTCACCACCCTATTGTCTGTGTCCATAGGTAATACATATATACATATAAGATTTTCATTTAATCTCTTCCCACCCACCACCCCCCTTCCCTCTGAGAATTGTCAGTCTGTTCCTTTTCCATGCCTCTGATTCTATTTTAGTCACCAGTTTATTCTGTTCATTAGATTTCTTATTCTTTTACTTTGATTTTTAGGTTCAATTGTTGATAGGTAGGTATTTGTTGCCATTTTATTGTTCATATTTTTGAGCTTTTTCTTTTTCTTCTTCTTCCTCTTCTTAAAGAGTACCCTTCAACATTTCATATGATACTGGTTTGGTGGTGATGAACTCCGTTAGCTTTTTCTTGTCTGTGAAGCTCTTTATCTGACCTTCAATTCTGAATGATATCTTTGCTGGGTAGAGTAATCTTGGTTGTAGGTCCTTGCTATTCATCACTTTGAATATTTCTTGCCACTCCCTTCTGGCCTGCATAGTTTCTGTTGAGAAATCAGCTGCAAGACACAGTGTGGGCACTCCCTTGTAGGTAACTAACTGCTTTTCTCTTGCTGCTTCTAAGATTCTCTCTTTGTCTTTAGCCCTTGGCATTTTAATTATGATGTGTCTTGGTGTCATCCCCTTTGGGTTCCTCTTGTTTGGGACTCTCTGTGCTTCCTAGACTTGTAAGTCTATTTCTTTCACCAGGTAGGGGAAGTTTTCTGTCATTATTTCTTCAAATAGGTTTTCAATATCTTCCTCTCTCTCTTCTTCTGGCACCCCCATAATTCGGATGTTGGTATGCTTGAAGTTGTCCCAGAGGCTCCTTACACTATCTTCATATTTTTGGATTCTTTTTTTTCTTTTTGCTTGTCTGGTTGGGTTTTTTTTTGCTTCCTCATTTTTCAAATCATTGATTTGATTCTCAGAACCCTCTGCTCTACTGTTGAATCCCTGTATATTATTCTTTGTTTCAGTCAGTGCATGCTTAATTTCTTACTCATTCTTTTCCATTTTTTTGAGGTTTCTAGATGATTCTTGAGTAACCTTATAATCATGGTTTTGAACTCTATATACAGTAGTTTGCTTTCTTCCATTTCTTTCATCTGTGACATGTTTCTTTGTCTCCACATTTTGGTTGCTTCCCTGTGTTTGTTTCTATGTATTGGGTAGAGCTACTATGTCTCCCTTGAATTAGTAGAGTGGCTTTCTGTACTAGCTGTTCTATAGGGCTCAGTAGCTCAGCCTCCCCAGTCACCTGAGTGGGGAGCTCTAGGTGCACCCCTTTGTGGGCTGTGAGCACAGTCTTGTTGTAGTTGAGACTTAATTGCTGTTGGTGTCACTGGGAGGAATTGACCTCCAGCCAATTGGCTGTGAGGACCAGCTGTGACTACAGTGGGAGAGCTGCTGTGCAGGAAACACCCTTATGAAGCAGGACTTGCTTCATTGGGACTTTGGTGCTTACTGAGTCTGCCCCTTGAGTGTGTCACTTATGTATGTGTAGAGTTGTAATCTGGTATGGTCTGACACTGACCACTGGGTACACTGGCTCTTGGGTCTCCAGGGAAGTGCAAATTCAGCCATGCCTGGAGCCACCCAGCGGGAGCTATAGAGAGATCTGAAGATTCCTTCTCTTTGTATCTGGTTTGGAAGTGCCCAGTTGAGGCCCAACTGTGAAGCAAGGCAGGCTGGTGCTGGTGCCGGGTCTTGGGCCTTTTATTGATAGGTTTGGGGCTTCCTGAACCAGCTGCAGCTTGTTTGACAGATTTTAGCCTGAGCAAGGGCAGGACATTCATATGCAAAAGCAGCTGCGTGCAGCTTGGGTGGAGTTGTAAATTGGATGAAGTGAGGTCTAGGGAATCACCAGGGCGGAGCAAGCAGAAATGGCTGCCAGTCAGCCTGCCACCCTGAGGTCCCAGCATAGGAACAATGATCCCTGTGAGCACCTCTGTCTGGGAGAAAGCCACCCCTGAGTTCCTGCATCAATGCCAGACAATCCAGTTCCTCCTTACATGTGTCTGTGTCCCTCAGAGCCTTGCCCTGGTGCTGAAGCTCCAAGGAGGCAGGACCTTGTAAGTTCAGTTTGTGGTGACGGCCTTTTTAGAGGAATAGTGGGGTCTCCAGCAGCCTCTGTGTCACCGAACCCCAATCTGCACTGGTTTTAACAGCCTGTAGTTCTTACTGCCCTTAGGGACTTCTTTTCCTAGCTCTGGGACTCGGGGCTTGGGGGCTGGTGTGGGGTTGGGACCTCTTGCTCCTCCCAGTGGCCTCCACAGAGACAATCTCCCTTCCAATTAAAAGTGGCACACGTGAGTGCTGGACCAGCCCGTTCTGCACCTCTGCAGCTCCTACCAGTCTCAGTGTGCTTTCTTATTTACTTCTCTAGTTGTAGGACTTCCATTCAGCCAGCTTTCCAGTGGTGCTGGGTGATGGTTGTTCTGTATTTTAGTTGTAATTTTGATGTGGTTGTGGGAAGCAGTGAGTACAGGAGTTTACCTATGCCGCCATCCTCAAGTCTCATTATTGATGTTTCTCTCTTTCTGTTGACCTCTCCCTTCTTTTCTGAAATCAATAAAAATATATTTAAAAAACACAAACAAACAAACAAAACACAGTGATCAGTACCACAATATTTAATTAACTACTGTGGCATTTCATTACTGGTATGCCACCTGTGTTTGATTATCTGTCTCAGTCCTGTAGGTGGTTGAGTTTCTAGCTCACTGTAGAACTCAGTGTTGGTTTCTGGCAAAACTTCCAAGATTCTTGTCATCTCTAAGGAATGTTACTTAGTTAATTTGCACAAGATCTTAGCACACAAACAAGTGACTGTTTATTAAATCCCCTTTGGTAATTAGTTACTATAGAACCTCTATCCACTACCTCCTCACTTCAAAAAAGTCACAGGCACTGTAAAACTAGAGTCTGAATATTTTTCTATTTGTCTAAGCATGTTCTGAAAATCGGGTCTGAGTTAGGCTTTCTTAACACTTGGTCTCCAGGTTACAAAGTGTCCCCAGTCTTGAAGCAGCATCCATCACATGAACAGAGAGAAGGAGACACCATCATAAAGAAAATCCTTCAACGTTTGAAATCTGGCTCAAGTCATAGTTATAAAATCGGTAGGGGCCAGGTTTACGTTACCGAATCTTTGCTCTGGTTTAGAATTTTTTCCCCCTCTGGTTTAGAATTTAATATTAAATCATTTGAAAAGGCCATTGCAGACTCTTCCTATCTTCTATTCCTCAGCAAAAACAAGATTTAACCAGCTAACCAACATGTCTAAGGTCCTATTGTAAATTAGGGTTTTTAAAAATAATATTTATTTTAAAAGGGTAAATGCTTATTCACTAGTTAGTTCTGATTTTCAGATAATATAGGTATGTTTGCTATTGATAAGAAGTACTCATTTTCTCTTCCTCTTCCACTGTTGTGAAATATAAAGCCAGCAGTGGTTCTCAACCTTGGCTGCACATCAGAATCAGTAATGTAATCAGTATAAAAATCATTAACAATATATTTTACCTTTTTTTCATGCTGTCTTTGAAATCCAGTATGTATTTTCTTTATTTTTAAAGAATAGTTTATCAATTTAGAGAGAGAGAGGATGGGAGAAGGGAGGAACATCATCAACTGCCTCCTGTACGTCTTGCACTGGGCATGTGCCTGATCGGTAATCGAACCAGCAGTCCCTCGGTGCACGGAACGATGTCCAACCCACTGAGCCACATCAACCAGGGCTCCAGTGTGTATCTTATACATAAAGCTCTTCTCAGTTCAGACCGGCCACATTTTAAGTGCTCAATAGCTCCATGTGTCTAGTGCAACCATATCGGACAGCACAGATTTAGACCCAAGAGTTCAAGTGATTTTAAGAAAATGAAGATGTGAGTCTGGTGTAAAGCATGCTGAGAATCTTATCTTGCTACACAGCAAGTTATAGAGCCTGGCAAAAAATGTTAGTTACTCCACACAAGGAGTATAAGTTTTTTGTTTTTGTTTTGTTAATCCTCACCCAAGTATATTTTACCCATTGATTTTTAGAGAGTGGGAGGGAGGGGAAATGGAGGGAGAGGGTTGGGGGTGGGAGGAGAGAAAGAGAGAGAAACAGGGATGTGAAAGAGACACAATGATCAGTTGCCTCCCACAAGTGCCCTCACCAGAGCCCAGGATTGAACCTGCAACCCAGGTAAATACCCTTGTCTGGGAATTGAACCTTTGACCCTTTGGTGCTTGGGCTGATGCTCTAACCATAGAGGCACACTGGCTAGGGGACAATATATGTTTTAAAACACTGGAGAAAAAAATAGATCCAATCAAACAAAAGGTAGGGAGTGGAAAGAAAATTAAAGAAAATAAAATAGAAATCATGGCTGATAGTTAAAAAGAATTATAGTCCATTCAAACTTTGGAATACTGTACTATAATTAAAAAGAATCAGATAGGCTAGCCGTGGGCAAACTATGGCCCGCGGGCTGGATCCAGCCCGTTTGAAATGAATAAAACTATTGAAAAAAAAAGACCGTACCCTTTTATGTAATGATGTTTACTTTGAATTTATATTAGTTCACACAAACACTCCATCCATGCTTTTGTTCCGGCCCTCCGATCCAGTTTAAGAACCCATTGTGGCCCTCGAGTCAAAAAGTTTGCCCATCCCTGAGATAGGCCGTCTCTGATGGCCCCAATGATCCCTGCTTACTAGCACTGATGCTCTTGTGTAATTCCTACTCCTTGAGTGGGGCTGGACTTACTGACTCGCCTACTGAAGAGAATATGACAGAAGGAATGAGATTAGGCTATAAAAAGGATTTAGTTTCCATCTGAATACACTCTCTCTTAGATCTCTCACTCTGGGGAATGCCAGCTGCCCTGTCCTCAAGCAGCCTTTCAGAGAGGCCCATGTGGCTGCCAACAACCACATGAGATTCCCACCTCACGCCCCGTCAAGTGTTCAGATGAGACCACAACCCCAGCCAACAGCTTGACTGCAACCTCATGAGAGACGGAGCCAGAGTCACCTAGGTAAGTGCATCTAAAACTCTTGCACAGAAACTGTGAGATAATAAATGTCTTGTTGCTTTAAGTCCTTAAATTTTGGTATAATTTCTTACGCAGCAATAGATAACTGACATAGTAGCTGTATATTAACATTACATATATAAAAAAACAATTGCTGTTTAGTATATGTAGCATGATCCCATATACATGAAAAACACCAAAATTAAAATATATAAGAAGTAGACAGAATAAGATTTATTGATATACTAGAGGCCTGGTGCATGAAATTCCTGCATGGGTAGGGTCCCTAGGCCTGATTGGCGATCAGGGCTGATCAGGGCCTTCTGGCTGCCTGCCAAGGCCTTCTTTCGTTCCGCCGTTGCCCCCTGGTGGTCAGCGCATGTCATAGCGAGTGATCGAACTCCTGGTCTCCTGGTCAAACTCCCGAAGGGACACTTTGCATATTAGCCATATATATATATATATATGATTATTCCTGCCTTTCCTTTCACCCTCCACACATTAAAGTGAGCCTTTCCTTACTTCTCTCCCTCTTCACTTCCTCCCTTGCTGTCTTCCTTCCTTGCTCTTTTCATCCATTTGTTTAACGAATGTTTATTGAGCACTTTCTATGTGCCAAGCTCTGTATTGGGTCCTGGGGATAAAAAGGTTAGCAAAAACCCTGGCCCTCAAATTTCTCTAAGTATGTAGGGGAAGGTAGATCAATTAATCATACAAATAAATATAAAATTATAATTTTGGTAAAGTTACAAAGGAAAACAGTACAATGCTAGGAGACTATGTAACTTGACCATGGGATTCACATCTAGTTTGACTCTAAATTCCCTACTCCTCTGACCAACCACCCTTGGCCTCCTGCAAAGTAGCCAAAATCCCATCCTAAAGATAACATTGCTAATTCAGCTTCTGGAATTTCCTTTTGTCCTTTGAAACCATCAGGGTAGGTCACTATCCTTGCATCAAAGTTGTCATTGCTGGGGTGCAGCAACATGATGTCAGGCATGTACAGATTCAGAGAGCCCCAGGTTCAAATGCTCACTTTGTCACCTTCTATCTCTGTGACATTGGACAAGCCACCAGACCTCTCTGAGCCTCAACTTCCTCAACTGTAAAATGGGACTAATAGTACATGCCAAGCAGGTGGGAAAGAATGCAATAATTGGTTGTTATCATTAGTGCTTAAAACTGAGAATGTTATTTTTTCTAAATCTGGAGTCCTAAACCCAGGGAAATTGGGTAGTTTGTCCAGAGTTAGAACCACACCTGAAGTCTAAATTAGAATTTTCTACCTTATGTTCATGAACTCTTTCTCAAGATAAGAAATGTGTTGTAGATTTGAAGGCAGAAAAGCAATGGAAATATATATCCACAAAAGAAAAAGATAGGACCCTTGGAGTTTGTGTTTATGGAGCCATTATTTCCTGTTAAACCCTTCTGAGTAAGAAGCTTCCAGCTAAAGCACTTTAGCTGTATGTTGTGGCAGCAGTGAAGGGCGTGGTGTTGAGACTCGGAAACACCCTATGATTCTGGAAAGCTAGTCAGGGTTTTTGTTCCTGGAAAAATGACGTTAGATTGTTTGTCCATTTACATCCAGTAAGACTATTATCTACTGAGTGCAATGCATCACAACCCTCTGGAGATATTTGGGCATCCGTTCTATGAAATTCGTGGCTCCTGGCTAATACTTCCTCTTTTCTTTTGACACCTCAGCTTTATCCGGTTGAGCAAATTGTTGCCAATAGATGTGCATTATTCTGATCAGTTCTTAGGAAGGAGGCTATGGGAGTACAAGGGACCTGTCCCACTGAATGGTCCAGGGAGCCCTACACCCTTCAAGTTGGAGGCTTGGAGACACCTTGATGTGAGGGATAGTGTTGGACTAGGTCAGTGATGGTGAACCTTTTGAGCTCAGTGTGTCAGCATTTTGAAAAACCCTAACTTAACTCTGGTGCTGTGTCACATATAGAAATTTTTTGATATTTGCAACCATAGTAAAACAAAGATTTATATTTTTGATATTTATTTTATACTAGAGGCCCAGTGCACAAAAATTTGTGCCCTTGGGGGGGGGGTCCCTTAGCCCGGCCTGTGCCCTCTCGCAGTCTGGGACCCCTCAGGAGATAACGCCCTGCTGGCTTAGGCCTGCTCCCAGGTGGCAGAGGGCAGGCCCAATCCCTAGGTGCAGCCCCTGGTCGGGCTCAGAGCAGGGCCAATTGGAGAGTTGGGGCGCCGCCCCCTGTCATGCACAGAGCAGGGCGGATCGGGAGGTTGCGATGCCACCCTCAGTCACGCTCAGAGTAGGGCCGATTGGGGGGTTGGAGCGCCGCACCCTGTCACACACAGAGCTGCAGGGTGATCAGGGGGTTGGGGAGCTCCCCCCTATCAGGCACAGAGCAGGGCTGATCAGGGGGTTGGGGCGCCTTCCCCTGTCACGAACAGAGCAGGGCAGATAGGGAGGTTGTGGCCCCGCCCCCTGTCACACACAGAGCCGCAGGGCGATCAGGGGGTTTGGGCACTGCCCCCTGTCATGCTGATCCCGGTGCCGGGAAGCCTCTTGGCTCCACTGATCCCATTGCTGGGAGGCCTCGCGGCTCCGCTAATCCCGGTGCTGGGAGGCATATTACCCTTTTACTATATAGGATAGAGGCCTGGTGCATGGGTGGGGGCCGGCTGGTTTGCCCTGAAGGGTGTCCTGGATCAGGGTGTGGGTCCCGTTTGGGTGCCTGGCCAGCCTGGATGAGGGGGTGATGGCTGTTTGCAGCTGGTCACACACCCTTCAGGGTGGGGGTCCCCACTGGGGTGCCTGGCCAGTCTGGGTGAGCGGCTAAGGGCTGTTTTCAGGCTGGCGGGTGACTGAAGCTCCCAACCACTCCTTTTTTTCTTTTTCTTTTTTATTCTGAGCCAGCTTTAGCTCTGGCTCCAGCTCTGAGGCCTCTGGTTTGTTTATTAATCGAAACACTGTATCAACTCCAGCTCTGAGATCCCGGCTGGCTGAAAGCAGGTTTCTGGGGTTTTGTTTAGCTTCTATATTTGTAACAATGTTTCAAACTGCAAGCTCAGAGGCCGGAAAGGCAGGCGGGAAACGTTGGATCCCTCCTTCACTGAAGCAAGCAAGCCTCATGTTAGTCAAGCTGCCTGGCTGACGGCTGCCATCTTGGCTGGCAGTTAATTTGCATATCTCACTGATTAGCCAATGGGAAGGGTAGCGGACGTACACTAATTACCATGTTTCTCTTTTATTAGATAGGATATTTAAATGCCATTTAACAAAGAAAAATCAACCAAAAAATGAGTTCGCGTGTCACCTCTGATGCGTGTGTCATAGGTTCGCCATCACTGGACTAGGTTGTAATCCTGCTCTGCCACTCACTAGCCCTTCTTTACTGGAGGAGTGATAAGTACTGCAGAAATACATGTATGCAAACGTTGTTATCTGAAGCTTGAAGGCAGTCCCTGGAGAAAACCTTAGAAAGGTGTCATTTTAGGAAACAACATAAAAGCACTTTAAGAAAGGGAAACAGAAATGAATAACGAATAATGAGTATGCAGGAAGCCGAGGATGGCTGTCCTCAGGGAGTTCCTTGCTGAATCTTGATTTCTGATATGTGGTTCTCAGACTCCTTAGTAAGAAGTGAGTCTCTCATCTAGGTGTTTCAGAAGTTGGAACTTGGCACCAAGCCCTGGAATTTCTCAGTGCACTTGACCAGTTGGGTCATTCTGAGGGCACTCAGGACAGATCCAGAAGCCCAAAGGTCTGGGGTCAGATATGCTGATGGGAGGTCCATGCGGCTCCCATTTCCCCTTGTCTATGGGAGAGCCCACACTGCACAGAGCCTGGCAGCTCTAGGCATCAAGGCAATTCTCTGCTGTGCAAGTTTGGGAATGACAACTCCAGAATGTTCTGGCTTTTGTGAAACTTACTTGTTTTCACCAAAGAATGGGCAGAGAGCCCGGCTGGTGTGGCTCAGTTGGTTGAGCATCATCCCATGGACTACGAGGTCATGGTTCCATTCCCAGTCACAGCACATGCCTGGTTTTGGACTCAATACCCAGTATTGAGGGGGTAGGAGGTATGCAGGAGGTTCGCCATGCAGAAGGTAGCCGATCATTGTTTCTTTCTCATCATTGTTTCTATATCTCTCTCCCTCTCCTTTCCTCTCTCTGAAATAGATTAAAAAAAAATGGGCAGAGAGCTCATGCAGCTGCATTGGTTAGGAGGGTAGACCAGCTGCAATAAATGGAAATGTGCTGCCAGCCTTTGGTGTGCACAGCATGGCCTGAGGAAGCAGCAGGAACCCAAGGGAGAGGGGAACCGTTCTTGGCCGTCAAGCTGTTCCTGTACAATTTGAAATGTGTAGACAAGGATTTAAATGTGTGAACTGTGTATTGAAGGATTGATTATTTAATAATCCCAACTTCCTAAAACCCAGAAAAAAATTAAAATTAAACACAAAAGGTCTCTCCACAGTCGAAAAGGATGTCACAAAGACCATATGCTTTTCTCCCAGCTCTGCTGCTTTGGTCTTGCCTAGGGTACACTTAATCTTACTTCATACAAAAAAAAAAAAAACAATCTGCCTTCGGCCTCCATCACAACTACTCCCAATGGCCATCGATGCCTTCCTTGTAAAAATAATGTTCTTTCTTTTATGAATTGATTGTCTGGGCAGCAGTTTTAAAATGTTGGCTTCTTTTTCCCTCTCCCCTGACTTTTAAAAAATGTATTGAGGTGAAATTCACATAACAAAATTAACCATTTTAAAGTGAATGATTCAGTGGCATTTAGAATGTTCACAGTGCTGTGCAACCACCACCTCCATCTAGTCCCCAAACATCTGCATTACTCCAAAGTGAGCCCCCAGGCTAATGGAGCAATTTCTTCTCATCCTCCCTGGCCCTGGCCGCTGACCACCACACATCTGCAGTCTGTGTGTATGGCATTATCTATTCTGGATATTTCCTATCAATGGAATCATACAATATGTGGTCTTTCGTGAGTGGCTTCTTGAACTTAGCATAAGGTTTCTTCAGTTCCATCCACGTTGTGATGTATTATCAGTACTTGAATCCATTTTATGGTTAAGTAATACTCCACTGTGTAGATATTCCACAGTTTGTTATCCATTCATCAGTTGATGAACATTTGGGTTGTTTCCATGTCAGGACTATCATGAATAATGCTGCTAGGAATAGAACATTTGTGTGTTCCCTGACTTTTGCCAGCTCAGTTTCTCATCTCGATAATGCAAATGATAACGATACCTTCCTCATAGGACTGTTAGAATTAAGTGAGGATTAAACAGAATAGTGCCTGGAACATGGTCAAAGTTCAATAAATTCTTGTTATTTTGTTTTATTATTTTTTAAATACATAACTCAGGAGTTAGTTCCACCAGGGCAGATGACTTTACACATCTCATTCTCAAGGTCATCATTGCATCACTTCAATAATTAGTGTAAGAAGTAGTGATCCTGAATCATAAGTGAAAGGTTAACTGTGAAACTATGGTTGGTATTTTCTGGGTAAGAAGGCAAGGATGGGTAAGATACCATATTGACCAACTTCCATCAGACCTTAGCATTAGATATGATGAATAAGCACGGCCTCACAAGGACCTGCAACAAATACCTTTTTTAAAGTAATGAGCTATGAGCTTGCAGAGGACAAGTCAGATAATAAGGGCCTTTGAGTGCTATTTTTCAAGCAGAATTGTGTCATGAAAATCACAAATGAAGACGAGCATACTGATACTTCCGAGCCAGTAGATTTGAGCGGAAGCTGGGAGATCAGAGAGGATACTTATACAGGGGTTGAGGTATTATCTTTTTTTTTTTTAATCCTCACCTGAGGATATTTTTTCCCATTGATTTTCAGACAGAGTGAAAGGAAGAGAGGAAAGAAGGGGGGAGGGGGGGAGGAAGGGAGGGAGAGAGGGAGGGAGGAAGGGAGGGGGTGAGAGAGAGAGAGAGAGAGAGAGAGAGAGAGAGAGAGAGAGAGAGAGAGATCATTGTGGAGACACAGCGATTGGTTGGTTCTTGCACATCCCCCCATTGGGCTGGGGATCAAACCTGCAACTGAGGTATGTGCCCTTGACCGGGTATCAAACCCAAGACCCTTTGGTCCATAGGCCAATGCTTTAACCACTGAGCACACCGGCCAGGGCTGTGGAATTATCCTTGAGAGGTGACTGGGCTTATAAAGAAGAAGCAATGTACCAGAGAGGCACCTGTATGAAAAATTGATAGTAAATGGGAAGAGATGGACAAGCGAGGGGAAGATTCAGAACAAATGCTGTGAGCCATGCTGCAAGGAAGGGTGGTGATGCCATGAAAGGTGTTTGGACAGTTGAAAGGGAGCTGCTCTGAGCTAGGCCACGAGGGACTTCCTCAAGATATGGACATCCAGTGGCCATGGCACTCACGTCTAAGTTCTTACAGGTTTTACTGTCTATTTAGGAATGAAAGGAGATAAACTCTTGGCTGCATTGTCAACATCCATTTTCTGCCTTTTCCTTGCTGTCATCAATAGGATGGATTGAGATACACTATATAGTAACAATTCCAAACTGTCAGTGATGTGACAACAGAAGTTCATTTCAGCTCGGCTGGGTCTGTACTCCTGCATCTTCATCATTCTTACCCTGGGACCCACGCAGGCAGAGCCACCTATGATGGAAATGCTGCCTAAGGTGAAAGAACTACTAAGTGGAAGAGTGTTATTTAAACCTAGTTCTTTGAATTCTTTCAAAATTCAGTCATACCTATTATGGTACCAATTGAGTTGATATCATACATATTTTTCAGGATTTTTTTAAGTCTTCACAATAGTTATTTTAATGGATTCACAATAATCTGTTGACAATTATGAAGCAGCAATTAGGGAAACATACAATTTAAGTTTGCATTTACTCAAAAATCACAACTGCCTGAAAAAAACACTAGAAGGAAACATTAAATAATAATAATAATGTGAGCTAGGGCTGTTGTCTGTAGGTAGGATTATAGGCAATTTTATTCCCTTTCTTTAACTTCTATTACCTTAAATTATTTTTTCAATTACAGTTGACATTCAATATTATATTTATTTCAGGTATACAGAATAGTGGGTAGACATTTACTTCTCTTGCCTTTGTTATAAAGTAGTATTTGCAAGAAATAATGATGTAGGGCAAACAGAGTTTCTCTTGTCCTCCATTGCACAGTGCCAGCAAGTCTCACCCTCTCCGAGGAAAAACATGCACTCTAAGTATTGGTACGCCTAATTCCAAGTACACATTCTTCACAGAAAAGTTTATTTTTGGTTCCAGGAATTAAGTTTATTATATTAACAGTCTACCAGAGCCAGAGCAAGACCATTACAGTTTCTTCCCTGAAGTGCTACTTTTATCTGAGTGTGTTATTCCACGTTGCCGTGGATCGATAGGGAATCTTGAGTAAATAATCGGGGAACAGGGCCCCTGATGTGGTGAAAGCCACGTGATACAAGTCCTAACAACAGTGGAGAAATGAAGAGGTTAGCACTGAGGTGAAAAGCCACTTCCAGAAAAGGTAAAAATATATGCCCATAAAGGATTCCTTGTTTTCATTTCTATAAACAGGGAAAGATCTATGAGAATTGGGTTATGGCAAGGTAGAAACAGCTAAACTAAGCCCTCCTCTGAAGCTTCTTTTTATATGATTTGGTAGAGTTGATGTGGGCGTTCTAAGGAATAGGGAAATCTATTCAAGGGTAAAATAAAAATCAGTGAGCTTATGACCTTAGCAAAATGGTAACTAAGGAAACAGCATCTTTCTGACGTCAAGTTGCTACAAGATCATCTGTATGACCTGAATAATTAAGCAGTCTCCAGCTTCTGGGCCTGTGATGGCTGCCCCCACCCTCCACCTTACCCCCACTACCATCACTAAAGATCACTTCTTCGGGATTCTCTCTATTCATTAAACAAACATTTGAAGGCCTACAAGCTGCTACCAGGGGTCCTCAAACTACGGCCACATGCAAATACAAATATTGTATTTGTCCCCGTTTTGTTTTTTTACTTCAAAATAAGATATGTGCAATGTGCATAGGAATTTGTTCATAGTTTTTTTTAAAACTATAGTCCGGCCCTCCAATGGTCTGAGGGACAGTGAACTGGCCCCCTGTTTAAAAAGTTTGAGGACCCCTGTGCTAGGCATTGAGACAGTCCTTGGGAGATTACCAACTAGTTTATAGGCCTTCCTATTGTAGAACCTGTAATCTCGTTAGAAAAAAATTAATCAAAATCACAAAAATAAATATAATTGCAACTGTCATAGGTGCTACCAACACACACACACACACACACACACACACACACACGCACACACACACACACAATTTACTTCTAACAAGAGTGTAAGACAGACTGATTTGACCTAACCGTGAAAGTCAAGGGTGATGACAGAATGACATGCAAAGGGCGAGTCAGCATTAAGTGAGAAGAAAGGAACAGCATGTTTTAGGTAGATGCATGTTCCAGAGCATGCCAAGTCTTTCTGGTTTGACTGGCAGCCTCCTGATAGTGGCAGGAGTAGCAGTAATTTTGGCAGCCTCATTTGGCAGTGCCTGGCACAAAAACGCTTAATACCTGGGGACTGTTATTGTCATCCTTAGTATTTAGCCTGGACAATAGGATGTCGGTGTGTGGCGGAGATAGTACCTAGAAGATAATGGAATGCGCAGCCTGACTTCTGAGGTAGTCAAATCTTGAAGGAAATATGGTTTCATGGTTCAAAGTATATGGCACTGGTGTTTCTTCACTCCTGTTAGGTTCCTTTTGACAACTACCCCACCTTCTCACAGTGTCACATGCTACAAAGCTGCTTCTTTCAGATGCTTGGGAGAAAGTTAGCCTATTGTCACGAAACGTGAGAAATCTCCCTCTCAGACCTCGCAGAACTTTTAAATGCCTAATGAAAAATGCCTATTAGAGTTAGAATAAACTGTCACTTTTAGCTGCACTTATAATATCCAGTTTAAGCAGAAGCTCCGTCTAAACCAGGAAGCCTAACAATGTTGCAACTTCCTCTACAAGAATCACTTTATTGTAACAAATAAGAATTTTTGATGGAAAAGTTAAAAATGTCAGCAAAGACACGCAGGAAGTGACTCCCTGCTCCTAATTCCCAAAATAATTTCTCCGTTCTCTGAACACATTTTTCATGCCTCTCTTAGGACATTTTCCGATTTTTTTTTTTTTAGCTTATATTGTAGTTATTTACGTCCATGTCTGATCTGCCCAATGTATGAAACTGTAAAATCATTGAGGGCAGGGACACCCCCTGACTCATCTTTGGATCTCTCAACGTGCCTGCTGAGAATGGTCCCTTACAAAGGAGGCAGTCGGTCTGTATTTAATGAAGGAATTTACTGATTCCTATCTAGTCCTGAATCATGAGGACTTTCGAAAGAACGTTTACATGGTGTTCCTACGCAACGAAATACTTCTGTTCATTTTCCAGATAGAAGTGCAGGAGAAAGGAAGTGAGTAGGAGTGCACAGGGTGGGGAAGGTCACATCTGCTTCAGGCAAGTGTTTTCTCCATCTCCCATCAAGCGGGGGGAGTGGCAAAAGAGGGCACTGGAAGAGGGTAGGAGATGCAGCCTCCAACCACTCATAGACTGTGATCCTAGTCAAGCTGCTGGAACACTCTCCCCCTGACTCATAAAAGGGATTGATGAATGAAGAACCACAGTTCCTTCTCATCACACTGTCTATCTAGAGTCACCATCCGGGAGATTTAGGCTCTAATCCCATAGTGACTTAAGATCTTCATCTTAAAATGGCTTAAAGTTTATATAGAGCCGGCATCATCTCACATGCTAGCCCTTCAATAGCTGCTTCCTAAAGAGCTCTGTTTAGAAGGATTCTGAGTCCCTTTTTGGGCTCAGTGGAAAGATAGCGTTGACTTACTAGTGATACCCGCATAAGGCAGGGAGAGGAGTAGCAGCAAATAGGCCAAGATATGTCGTCCTGACCTAGTCCAATACCCTCACTTCACAGGAAGAAATCGAGAACAGAAGCCCATGTCTTAAACTTACTATGTGTCAGGCATTGTTTAAATTGCCTTCACATGCACATACTTATGTGATCCTTGGCCAGTCGGAAGGAGTTAGCATTATTTTGATTCCATTTTTCCTGATGAGGTTTAGGGAAGGAAATTTTGCCTGGCATTCACACTCTGGAAGTCCTTATCTTTAAGCACCTCCCTTTACTGCCCCCTAATCTCTGGGCACTTGCTATGCGCCAGGCTAATGGTACTCAGCCAGGAGCGATTTTGCCCTCCAGGAGACATCTGGCAATGTCCAGAGACCTTTTGGCTGTGGGAAGAAGGTGTTCCTTGAATCTAGTGGGTTGAGGCCAGAGACACGGCTATCTGCACAGAATAGCGCCCAGAACAAAATGTATCTTAGCCCAAACTGTCCATAGTGCTGAGACTGAGAACTCCGAGTTAGGCTATGTGAGCGCATTTTCAGGCTGATGCTAAAACTCCTCCTGTAGCTCGGTAAGTGCAATTACTGTCTCCATTTTGCCAGACAAGGAAGAGTGCTCTCAGAGTCAGGAAGATCACAAGACAGGAACCCAGGGAGTCTGAGTCTAGAGGCCTCTGAAGTCCTCCCTCCACAAAACTCTACTCATCGGCTTCCTTTACTATCAAAACATGTAAACTCTTTAAGCACATGCTTATATATGACGGATTTCAGAAGCTAAGATCATTCAGCCGACTATGAAAACTTTCCACCGTGGTGGGTGTCTCTTCAAAGTAAGAAAAGCATTTGTTCAACAGTTCAAAGAAGAGGCTCTTTAGCAGCTCTTTCTGTAGAACCATTGATCTTGCTGGAGTAGATTTGCAGATCGGTGCTTTAAAATAAAACTCTGAGGAGAAAACCAATTTTAGGACATTAACAAGCTTTTTCAAGAATAATTAGCTCTGCGTGGGATTCAACTGTAATTTTTTTCCTTTTGTGTTTAGGAGCTGGTGAGCCTGGAAACTTATTTGGGAGTAGAAGAGGAAATGGAGCTATGAAAAGACACTATGATTCCTCTTGTTCTAGGAGGTGAGGTACAATCTGAATATGAATAACTTTCTCATCCTGTCCAACTGACTGCCTCAAATACAAATAGAATACATATAAAATTCTCTCTCTCTCTCTCCCTCTCCCTCTCTCTCTCTCTCTCCCAGCTAAGCACTTGGTTAGCTGGAAGAAATTGAAGAAGCTAAAAATCCAATGTTCATTTCAACAATAAAACCCTGTGCAAATAACTTCCTTTAGGACAGCGGTTCTCAACCTCTGGGTCGTGACCCCTTTGGGGGTCCAACGACCCTTTCACAGGGGTCACCTAAGCCCATCAGAAAACACATATATAATTACATATTGTTTTTGTGATTAATCACTATGCTTTAATTATGTTCAATTTGTAACAATGAAATTGGGAGTCACCACAACATGAGGAACTGTATTAAAGGGTCGCGGCATTAGGAAGGTTGAGAACCACTGCTTTATGATGTAAGGTTTATCTCCTGCACAGAAAACAATGCTAATGTAACAGGGTGAGGGTGGGAGGCAGGGAGAGGAATGGAAAAAGAGAGATATAACAGAGCTTGAGGGAA